TTAATGGGATGCACAACTTATTAAAACCAGTCATGAACCCGTTAACTCACCCAGTTTCTTCAGCCCATCTAGCAGGGTGGCATAAATCACTCCGTTCACCTTCAGTGAATGCCTCATTTTTATACAAGATCTGTACTTGAGGACTCTAGAGCACTTTTGGGTGAAGAAAACATAAGTAGAGGAAAACTCTTGAAAACTTCTAACACTACTATTCTTGAAATAAATAGTTAAATCGGCATTTCTGGAGGCTGAAATTCATTAATCCACTGATGTTCCAGAGACTACAAGGCTTTCATAGTCCAAAGTCTTACCAAGAGGTAAGACTCCTAAGTATCTTCTCATAGTTTTTCTTCATGAATAATAATTTTCACTTAAGATAGCATTAATGGAAGCTCCTTTGGATGCATACACAAGAAAAAATATCTGTTCATAAATTGGTGTAGGGTGAAACCTACTGAACCTAGATCATCCCTTTGCAAAGGGCACTTGGCATCTCAGAGTCACAATTCCTTTTCTTCTTTCCCATCTCCATAAATCTGGTGGTTCCTCTCTGCCTAAGGTTCCATTTCAAAAGGCCAAAGGATAGCTGGTGGGAAGAAACACAAATTGGTTTCAACCCAGCACTGTCTATAATCTGGTGATTACAGAACTTTCAATGGGAATGRCATTTTACAAGTCCATCAGTTCTCTTGTTTTTGAGGACAAAACATTATTAATTCCTTGAGTTGTATAAAACACCTACCAGATGTAAATAAYGTCACCAGGAAAGAAGGTCATTAAAGGTAACACAACCACCTGGGGAACACAGTGCTTAGCTTAAATCCTGACACACACACAGCAGCACAGGACCAAGGATTTATGTGTTTTGCTCTCTGGGATCTGGGTGCTTCATCCTATGAAACCACACCTGTGATACATTAATGCTTCTTTGGATTATATCAAAAAGAGATACAATTATTGGGACAGAGCCACCTTCCCACCACTTATATTCAGCTCTCCCAGCATTCTGAGCATTTTTTCTCACCAATATTAGCTGCATATATAAACAATTTTTTCTCTATATAAGTTATAGSTATTATTTAGGATTTTTACCAGAGGTTAAAAAAAAAGAAATGCCATTTATGTTAACAAATAAATAAATTTTGTTCTCTTTCAGCATCATGGTGGGTCCTCAATAACAACTAGAAGCTGTGGTTCCAAGTAATGTTAATGTTGTATTGTTTTTCATTACACTAACATTCATACTGCAGTGTACAGGTGAATTTATGATGTGATGTTTGTTATTATGGATGGGATCTTTCCCACTTTATTCTAAAATCTGAAAAACTGCTTATTTATTACCTTCTCGTGACTAGTTCAGTGAAATGATGCATTCTRAAAACAAAAATAAGACAACTAAGATAAACTACTTATTTTGTATATGAAGTCCAAACTGTCACAGAAAAGTATGTCTTGAATGTATGACTAAATATTTGTGGAAAGTTTTATTATTGTGTTAATAAACAATCATTACTTAACATTGCTCTAGTCTCTTTTTACAAAAGAAGTATGAACCTGGACACACATTTTCATACATGTCTGCAGAGAAGCTGTTAAGTCATTAATTAAGAGAATAAACATAGGGACAACTCTTTTAYAGAGAGCTTCCCCCAAGCTTTTACAGAGCTTCCCCCAAGATATTTTCTGCTCACAAGAAGACAAAGCAACACTATCTTGTCTTAACAGGCTCTAGCCCTTGCCCTTGCAAGAAGAAACATATCTCTGTATCTGTTTTCACTGTAGATCCCCASACTTAACATTTCACAATCTCTATGTCCTTACCACTAAGAAAATATTTTCTTTGGATCTCTGGCAGGTCACTGCAAAGTCTTCAGAGAAACTGATGTTACAACATAAATAGCCATAAACCTTTGAGCTTGTTTGCAGGCTCTAGCAGGGGAACAGTGCTACTGTATATCCTTGAGCAATGAACAGCACCATAACCATGGGGGAGACCACCCTCTTCAACCAGTGTGCAGCTTTGGTAGGGGCGCACATGAGCCTTGAGGGAGGAAGGGGACACCTACCTAGCCAGCCCTGTCACCTCAATYCACCTGGTCATCAGTGGGGTGACAGATGTTGCTGACAGACTGCCCTCACATTCAGGGGATCCTGGCTGATGGCAAGTCGAATGTGAGCCAGCAGTGCCCTGGCAGCCAGGAGGSCCAGCCCTGTCCTGGGGGCATCAGGCACAGCACTGCCAGCAAGGCAAGGGAGGGGATTGTCCCACTCTGCTCTGCACTGGGGTAGCCTCACCTCAAGGGCTGGGGGCAGTTTTGGGTGCCTCAATGTAAAAGAGATATGAAGCTATTAGTGTCCAAAGGGATGGACATGAGGATGATGAAAGCCCTTCAGAGGAAGCCATATGAGGAGTGGCTGAGGTCACTTGATCTGTTCAGCCTGGAGCAGACTGAGGGGAGACCTCACTGCAGTTACAAATTCCTTGTGAGGGGGGAAGAAGAGGGGCAGTGCCTGATTTCTCCTCTCTGGTGCCCAGTGACAGGAGCTGAGGGAACGGCATCAAGCTGTGTGAGGGGAGATTGAGGTTAGGCATTAGGAAAAGGTTCCTGCCCTGTAGGGCGGTTGAACACTGGAACAAGGATGTGGTCACGGCCCAACAGAATTCAAGCAGCATTTGGACAATGCTCTCAGGCACATGGTGTGAGTCAGCGTAGCCTGTGCAGGGCCAGGCGTCGGAGTTCAATGATCCTTGTGGGTCCCTTCTAACTCAGGATATTCTATGATTCTGCAASACCTGGAAGTAGCAATACTTGATTCCCTAACAAGTCATACTGTTGTCTCGTGCATTTGAGGTGTGTCCTCCAGCCCAAGAATGGGCAAGCAACCACTGTAACCTCACACCTCCACAAGGCAGACAAGCTCTACATGCTACAGGATCATTCCCTCCAGTCATTTAGCAGTCTAAGATTACAAACAGTACCCTAAAGTAATTTAAAAGTCATGTTCAATAAAATACCTTCTTGTCTATTTTTATTTCTTCTCAACAAGAAAAATTACCATATATAAGTGGGGAATTTAGACTGCAAACACACCAGTCTTCACTGCAGTAAGGTCCTGTATTCCAGAAATTGTGACCAGGACTGAGTTCAAGATTAAGAAAGACATCACATTTAGATACCTGCACATGACCAAGGCAACTCAGCTACCATTTTATCAGTAGAGTTCTGAGGCAAAAGGCATCTAGTACATGTGAGATACTGCAGAGCAACCCAGCTGTTCTCCAGCTCCCAGCTGAGGACAACATGAGTTACCTATAGTTTGTCTGTCATTTATGCCTGGCCCATGCAGCACGTGGACTGGAATTCCAGGTAAATCTCAGATGACACCAGATGCCTACCTTTAGACAACTGAATCAAGCCCTTTGCAAATAAAGTTCACAAGGCCTTGGCTCTCCACACAAATGTGAATGACAAAAAGGGATACCTGAACATCTACTTACCCATGTAAGAGACAAATTTCTCCTTTTTATCTCTCAAAGTAACTCAGCAAAAGGGAATGCTTGAAGTYCAAGGCTTTCCCATATTGACATGATCCAGCTACCAATCTGTCCATTTTTAAAAGGTTACTGATATTACCCTCACAACTGACATAGGTTTAAAGGCTTCTTGTCTTTATCAAAGTAAATTTACTCATACTCTTTTACAACCAGCTGCTGTTTTTCCTATGCCAAGATGTCAGTCTATTGGCTGGCATGGGTTTTTTTGTCACTACTGACCTACAAAGGAAATSCAAGTGACACGTGACACAGATTCAGAGAAAATCCTTAAGTGAAAAATCACACACTACACTGAAGTTTGTAACAATTTTCCTTTTTAGTGGAAAAAAAATGTGTTAAAATTATTCTTAAAATAACCTACTTTAGAACATGATGTTAAATAGGTGCTGGAAGGGTGAAAAAAATTGTAGTAGGTCATATGTCCTTATAACAGTTACTCACCTTTGTATACTTTTTAGTAGACACTTTGATGAATCATACACAAGAAGTTTAAGAAGTTTCACTTAGGAGTTTTGAGAGCTACACACAGAAACTGTCTGACACATACTGGGAAAGAAGATCCACAAGACCCACTCTAAGAAACTCCCAGTGATAAAACCAACCAACAAAAAGATTTACATCATTCAGGAAAGGAAATCTAGCGCCTATCAAATGAAACTTGACAGGTTTTTGCACTACTGTAATTGCCATTTACCACAATCTCATTTAGCTTTCATTATCATTTGTGACAGAGATTAAAATATTGCCTGCAGTAGCCAAATGRTATTATTATAGGTCTAAATACAACTTCATAAGTTAATTATATTAAYACAAAACAGTTATTATTGATGCCTGTCAACTGAAGGATCCTTTCAGAAAATACTTGAATGATTGCTTTCCACTTCACTATTAGATACCATACTCATTTAAGGGAAAAAGAGAGAATTAACTATGCATTGGTACACCTATTTACCCGTATGAGACATATGATTAAWATCTGTCTTGTTCCTCAGTTTTTMCCATTACTTTCACTTTTTAAATTCAAGAACGCTGAACAATTATTTACAAAGAACTTTTAGGAATGCAATGCATAGGCAGGTTTTCTGTTCTGATCCATGATGAGAAATTTATCATGTTAGTGAAACTATAACTACTAAGTGGCTTCCTACTGAGAAAGAAAGTATGTGTAACCACAAAATACTAAGGAATATCTTGTATCAAGATGAAGATTTCAATTAAGAAGAAACAAGTCATGTCAACCCCCACCCCCCAAAAAACTAGAGGAATAGATACCCTAAGACATCTGAGATTTGACACAGCCAGTATTTGTTGTTCCATCTGTAGTTCTGAGGAAGGGAGTAGGAAGCAAGCAAAAAGTCTTAGTCAAGTATTGTTTTAGAATTTATGGTCAGGCAAAATACATGGCTACATAACACAAACAACTCAATGACAAAATTCTGCCACACCAATATGCAAAATTATTTATTTTCACTTTAATCATATTACCATTTCAGGCATCACAAATTAAAGGTTTTTCTCTTAAAGCATTCAGGCAATTACGTGAAGAAACAGGCATTTTCACAGGTTTCACAGGGTCGTACTTCCATCTGCAGGCACCCAAGTACCTTCAAAAATCCCGAAGACCTACATCAAATGTAGCTCCCTCATTGATGGATTTCTGATCTTCCAAACAACATGTCACTTCTTGCAGATGTCAATGAAAGGTTTGTTCTTTACCTGTAAGACAAACAAACCCTCAAATTACTTCAGTTATAACAGAGCACTTAAGTTTTCATTTGGGTCTACTTGTAACTCTTTTCTATTCCATGTAAATTTCACAATTTTTTTTTATTATGGCAAACAGTTCTGTTTTCATTAATCATAGAGACTTAATCTAAAATTTTCCTAGAAGACCGTGTCAAGACAGTAACATGTTCAAATGCTGAGCTATTTATTGGTAGCCCTGATCCCCACATCTCATAAAAACCTCAGTGTCCTTCAGGACAAACGCAGTCCACAGCCCACCAACTTTAACAACTGCATCTCCCTTGTACAAGTCACTAGGAAGTTTTCTTCATCTAAAATGGGTATATACTTCAGCAGTGGCTTCAAAAATTCAGAATTAGGAGTCTTAAGATCGTTATGAACTGTCTGAATACTCAATTCAGTGGCAAACTGCTTAAAAACCACCTGCTCCAAAATACAATCTCACTGACACTGTAGGATTGTCTGTTTGTCATTAGAAAATTATTTGCAGGCACCTTCTGCCACTTTTAAACATCATTCATTTACTTTACACATGCATCTCATCAAYCCCTCTGGTTTCTGTGCAAAAAAATGGATGACGTGATCAGTCAGCACACTGAAATTTTGGTTGAACTAGGTGATCTCACTGATTCTATTTCTGTAGGGGCCCTCCTTTTTCCTATGATGTAACTACATGAAAGCATACAGATATCAGAATTTGGCCCCCTTAAAAACACAGTTGGCAGGAGAGGGGGAAAGTTAGGAAATTAAAGAGCTCAAACTTCGCAATCTGAAAGSAGATTTTCAAACAAATACAGCTTTTATCTTGAGGACAAATAGAAAGATATAAAAAGTAAGATCAGGGAAAGCTGATTATTGTCACATTTTAGTTAATTTTTGTTTCTTCAAAGGACAGAATTTTAAAAGCTTAAAAATGCCTCCAAATATGGCCAACACAGTAATCATGTGKACATACTCTTCCATAACAGGAATCCTATTTCTAGCAGAACTACATTCCAATGGTCTCAAAAGCCACCTGGTAGGTAGCCTAATTTGATATGATAATGTTTACACAGATTTTCTCACACTTGGGGTCTGGAATGTGATCCAGTAGATGTTTTCTCCTAGCATATGAAGTATTTGAGGATTATTTTATCACAAACATTAAGGTAGCAAACATCCTCCACATTCATCACTCACTTCTATTAATCTCTCCCCAAAACCAAAGACCAAAGACAATGATAATACAAACTGCGTCGAACTCATTAATACTTTTGTAGTGGACACTAATACTTGGACAACACTGGATTAAGACCTTTACCAAGCTGGAAATTTATCAAGATTGTTCTTTTATTTTGAAAACATGGAAACATATCTGATCTTTTTCCTGAAAACAAATTAAAAACCCTTTCTCTTTAAACAGTATTAACCAGGGAAAGATGTCAAATACCAACTGGAGAAGTTACATACAAAAGTTGTGCTGAACTGCACAATCTGTCCTTGGAATGTTTTATCAACTTGGCAGGCKACTCTGAGGGAAAAAGTTTCCTGTCAAATGGATTATCAAAACGTCCACGGATGATAATATAACTTCACTTAATACAAAAAAAAATGCACTTACTGGCTTCTCAAGTACAATTGGATGATCAGGAAGAAACTCTGGCTTCTTCTGAGAGAGAGAAACATTTGAAAGCTTCAGAAGGAAGTCTCTGCTGTACTGGATCCTTTCTGTAAATATACAAAATCACTAACTTCAATGTTGTTTAGGGGATTAAGACTGGGAATTCAGAAAAATTATTTGKTTACATTATAGAATGGCAATGCTGCATGTGGAATATAAAAAAACAGTTTTAAAACCAGCAGTAATTTAAGTCTTACCTTGCATCAGGAAAATTTGTAGTAAATTAGAGCATTTCACTTCAACTGTATCAAACTGACACAGTAAATAAATACAAAAGAAGAAAAAAAGGTGAATCCAACCTTACACCAGACTCCCTGCATCTCGTTCTAATTAACACCATACACTGGTCTTGAAACCCACAAGAAAATGTTTATAATTCACTCCAAAATGACACATATTTCTAAGCGAGAGATAACAAAAATGAGGTGCCTCTTTCCTTGGCGCTAACAAGTTAAATGTCTTTCAACACCTAGAAGTAATGTCGAGACTTGCTGCAAGTAAACTGGCAGATTAATAGCAGTCTAATAGCTCTGAAGGGTTACACTGAACTAACAGAAGTCAGGGCCTTTACTCAGAACACRTAGGTTTCTCATTTGAGTTTACAGCACTGTCTCTATTATAGCATAGTCTTGGATACAGTATGTCTAGCCAYATCTGTATTTTAAGCTGATATTCTCAAATAAGAGTAGAAACAAGAGGAAAGGAACTAGGCAAAGAAGAAATAAATTTTATCTTTGGTCCTTGATGACAAAGTTTACTCCTTTAGGAATGATGGGGGTACTGCAAGATTGTTACACTGTCACCTGATGGACTACAGTTTTTTCTCAGACTGTAGGATATTAAAAAGAGAGAAGCTGATGACATCAACTATGAATGGAATTTCTTCCTGCCTTTGAACAAATGATTGCAGTAACTGCTGAACATAGGGGAGGGCATGAGGGTAACTTTGAAAACAGTTTAAAGAATATGACCATACTTGAAAATTTTCAGTTTGCTTTTTCMCCCCTTGATTAAAAACCTAGGAAGAGAATGACGTGTGTAATGCCTTTGATACAGTCCCCCACAACATCCTTCTCTCTAAACTGGAGAAATATGGATTAGATGAGGGGGACTGTTCATTAGATGAGAAATTGGTTGGACAGCTGCATCTGATCTGATGCTGGAATAAGTCCAGAGGAAAGTCCCTAAGTTGTTGGAACACCTCTCCTACGAAGACAGGCTTAGATAGCTGGGGTTGTTCAGGCTGGAGGAGAGAAAGCTCTTGGGAGACTGTGGGGTAGCCTTCCAGTACATAAAGGGAGCCTACAAGAAGGCTAGATAGGGACTTTTCAGAGCTATGTAGTCATAGGAAAAGGGGGAATAGCCTTAAGCTGAAGAATGATAGGTTTAAATTAGGTATGAGGAAGAAATTCTTTAGTGTGAGGATGGTGAGACACTGGAAAAGGTTGCCCAGAGATCCCCTGGGAGTGTTCAGCACCATGTTGCATGAGGCTCTGAGGAACCTGGTCTACTGGAAGGTGCCYCTGCACACGGCAGAGGGTTAGAACTTGATTATCTTTTAGTTCTCTACAATCCAAACYATTCTATAATCCAAAGAATAGTGGACATGTGTGGATGTAGATCAGTGAGTGATGAGCTTGCACCCTTCAGGGTTTTGTATTTTGACCAGTACTGCTGAGTATCTTTATCAAAGACAGATAGTGGAATCAACTGCACCCTCAGCAAATTTGCTGATGACACCAAGTTGGAGTGGTGCAGTTGACATACTTGAAGGGCAGGATGCCATCCAGAGAAACCTGGAAAAGCTCAAGTGGGTCCATAGGAACTCCATCCTGCACTTAAGAACTGCTGAGACAAAGAACTGAAAGCATGGTACCACTGAAGAGATTCCAAATGGAAATTATTCTCTAGAACTAAAAGTGCAGCTGAACATAAACGGAGTTCTAGAAGAACTTTTACCATTCATGGGGAAAAAAGGAARAAAACAAAAGGCTTATTTGTAAGCTGCAGCTGAATAGCAGGACCTTTAAAGCTGTGTTACTCTGAAGGAAAAGGTAACAACCAGCAAACAAACAAAAGCCCTTTAAAAACAAATATAAGTCTGACATTGTGGACAACTGTGGAGTAGACTCAGCGATGCATCACAGAGCAATTAACCACTGAAAAAGATCCAAAGTGATGGCTTATACAGGAGACCAGGATGTGATGAAAAGCCATTTAAGATCTTGYAGAACAAAACAATCTATGCACACCACAGGCAGAATCAATGAGAAAGGACCAGAAAGACAGCACCAAACAGACAGAATTTATCAGTCTGACATCTAACTAGATCCAAAGAACAGAACTGTATTCTATTTGTCAAGAACAAGAACAATAGAAGAAATGAACCTGAGCATGAAAGGGATACATGGAAGACTTGATTTTCCAGTCAGTAACATGACAGAATAGAATACTGCTCAAGAATCTGAGAGATGGTAACCTCAAACTGAGAAGAATAGGAAAGACTCAATAAAACTTAATCAAATTCTTTCAATTTTTGAGTGCTAAGGGCAACAGAACAAACCACATGATCAGAGATTACTCAAAGATTGGAGACTACAGGTGGATGCCTGATTACAGAACACACAGACAAGAAATTGTCTCAATAACCTAGATCAGTGATGCAKTTTCTGTGACATGACTAAGAATGAAGAATCATTCATTCTGATGAAGGGGCAGAAGGGGTAGAGAAGTACTGTGAGAATCCATTTTTTTCTCTGAGATTTCTCTTACAGAAAAAAAAAGAGTAAAATTTTGATTTGTTTAAACAACCAATACTCTATGAGTACAGGGGCAGGCAGTACAGAGGGAAAAGTGTAAGAAGCAAATCTTAAGGACAGTACTGACACAAAAAGAAACTGTTCAGGATTAATCATAAAAACTAATTCATATCTAACCACTCAAGTATTTGTATTTCAAAATCACCATAGTAAGAGTAGGACAAGGAAGCCAAAATGCTGAGTTCTTGAATTGATTACCTTCCCTAGTCTGTATGCCACAACTCACCCCTACAACAGGCTAAAGGACGTACCTCAAATCTATACTTACACACACATAAGAAATCTATACAAACCCAGGATTTTGTGTTAAGATTTTTTTTTATGTTTGAGATCTCTTTTGGAGGGGTTGGTTGTTTTTTATTCGTTGGTTTCGTTTGGTTTGTTCGGGTTTTTTAAAAGACAGTTACATCCCTATATGCAAACACCTTTACAGCAGAAGCTTTCCACCTCAGTTACAGTCAACTTTTACACTTTCTCTAGAGGGTTGTGTGAAAACCAGAAAAGTTTCATATTGCTCTCCAAACCACCAATGCACTGGCTAATCAGAAAAAAAAAAAAAATGCAGCCCACATCACTTCAAAGTTCAGGTGTCCTCCATCCAGAAAAAACAATCCTGACACAGTTCCCCATGCACTATTTTACCTTTTTTTGCTCCTGATTCATGTTGTTTTGGTTGACAGAGCACCACAGTTTGAGTCAAGATCTTCACTTCACTCATTTCAGGTGACTAAAATGAGGAAGGAAAGTTATGAAGCTTACCTTCTTGAAGCATATTAAAGAAAGAACACATGTTTCTTAGTTAAAAATAACAATTGCAACACAGTTTAACTTGAACCTGTAGAACATTTGTTCCTCTTGATTACACACAACAAAGGAATAGTTCAATAAAGCTATACAAGTGAACATATTTGACAGACATTTTTACACAGAATTTTACAGTGCTATTGCTAGTTTTTAAAAAGAACAGAATTATGTCCTTTTCTATTATCCCACCTAGACCACAGACACAAGCTGCTACATTCAGGAACAATAARAGCAGGAATTACTTTCCTTAAGACCAAAGRATGGACTTGGAGTCTCTCACTTAGMAAAAAGGTTTCTTTCATAAGCATCAAGACCCAATATCCACAGTATAAGTTTTGCCCAGCTGCCAAAACCTTGAAGAAAGTGTTTTGGAAAGTCAGAAAGCAGATTATCCTCAACAGTTTGTTTTAGTTAAAAAGGCTCTACAGGTTTCGCTGCGGAATCTTAACACCATTCTGAGTCAGATGGGAAGAGGGCAAGAAGTGGATATAACCAAGCAGGGGTTCATAGGACTCTCTTTAGATGGTATTTGGGGCACCCTGAAACAGTTCACGGTCAAAAGTATTAAAAAGCCTTTTCCATATAGTACATCAAAGCAAAAGTTTTAAAAAATATAAAAAATACATTTGCACTCATATCAAACGAATGCAATATGCAGCTACTTGTAGCCAAGTACTGATGAAACTGAATATTACAACACTGATGATCAGAGGCTTATTTAAAAGAGAATAGTTTSTTTTCCCCAATAACTAGTGCTCAAAAGACAAATGTGGTAATTTCCCAATGTGGGATCAAAGATAGGCTCCCAAGACCTAACTTTTTTTTTTTTTWAATTTTTTTAAAAGAAAAGCTTCATACAATAAAGAAGGACCACAGGATAGATAAAACTCTTCTAAAATAAAAAAAATATAGCAAAAATGAAGTAACAGGCATTTGTTCTAACAAAAAACCCCATCTATCAACTCTCTGAAAACATTAAAATCAAAACCAACAGAAAATCAAACTCAGGCTATAAAACATTAAACATTCGCAGCTAACAGCTACAACCAATTTCAAGCCTGAAGGACATATCTATATCATGTCCAAACCCATGCATTTGTAGCAATAAAGTATGAAGTTTTATGATGTTTGCTGTTTCAGAAGAATTTGTGCATGTCCTAACAAAGAACATTCTAGTATTACTTACACATAATAAACAAAGACAGAATATATGCTACTCAAAGTTTAAAAGAACTGACTTAAATTTAATGAAGACTAAAGAAAGGCCACACAGACTTTCACAAGAATCTTAAATTCCTAAGCTGCATTTTTCAGCTGTCAGTGCATGCAAATACCAGGGAAAGACACTCCTGAAACTCCTAACTCTTCTCCACAGTTTGGACAGTGCTGGTTTAAAACACTCAGCATGAAGAACACTCCTAGCTGGAAACTCTTTTCATTTGATTACACCGTGGWTCAGCTGACCTCCAATTTATAAATAATTATATACTCACTCAATACTCACCCAGTTAACCTTACTCTGCAAACATGCTTCAGTGCTGCTGGGTAATTCAGTCCGGATGTTTAATGCAATGGGTGATGCTGGTGAAGACAAAACATTAAGAAAAAGTAATTTCAACAGACTCCACAGGATTATTTTGTGGTATGTGCCCCTAGAACATTTCTTGCTGCACAGAGATTATATGGACATTTATTCGTAACTTAAAARCTCTATATCACCACAGGACCCCTTTTTCATTTCTTCAATAAATTTTATACAAAGTAAAAAATKTATGATGTCATTTAGCTTTAGTCCACACCAGCACAGCTGATGATTTTCTGGCCACCAAAAATTTCTAACTTAACAATAAAAACAGCTGTAATACTTCAATATCTAGGAAGCATATAGAGATTTAAAAACAAAACCAAAATGTTCACACCTGACATAAATACTGCATGATTCTTTTCTTAAACTTCGTTTTTTTTGTTTTAAACTCGCATGAAAGCTAGGCAAGAACAATGCAGTGCAGTGGACCGTACTTGCAATAAAATCTAAATAATTTATTTGTTAATGATGTGTACTTTATGCTTTCAATAGCAGGAGTCAACTAACCCAAGAAATCCAAATTCAACAGAGAAGTCTGATACAGCTTTCTGAAGCCAGATTTCAGATGTCAAGCTAGAAGAGCAGCACCAAGAGTTCTGTACAAACCTAACATAGTTTGAATTCAGATTTTATCACAGAGATGATGTACACAGAGAGTTGATGATGATCAACACAAAGCAAGATATTTATTCACTGTAGTTTGAACAACGTAATTTAAAAACAAACCAAAGCAAAATGAGATGCCTTAATCATCCTTGTTTTTTCCCCTAAGCACAACCCAAACTTTGGTAAAGTGAACTGCACYTTAGTCATGCTACTCACCTTGTTTAGAAGACAGCTGATGCACAGGTCGTGCTGGCTGAAGGGATTTGCCAATAAACTTTTTTGCTTCTGTAACATTTTGAAACATCGCACTTCAAAAAAACAGCTGAAATCATTAGCATTCAGTTTCACATATGGATGTTAAGCAAGAAGAGCAATCTACCTACTCCTGCTTATTTGTGTTTGACAAGGCAATATTATATCTGGGCAGGAAAAAGCAGAAAGATCTGATGCATATATTTTTTTAGATGATTGAATATGCTGGATAAAATTTGCATGAAGCCAGAATGAGACACCTATCACATTTTTCCTTCCAACTGAGCTTCCCTACCTTCTCAAGACTTTTTCCCTATATATCTATGTATACATTTGGAGAAAGGAGATAGGGACATAGGATGGAATTAAAGTATTTTCCAACAATTTAGTTCAATGGGTTTTCAATTAATTAGCATCAGCATACCCCTTACAATCTGCTGTCTGCACAGGAATTCCTTACATAAACTTACAGAACTACTTTAGTTCAATTAATACAATTTTTTGTATCTTCACACTCAGTTTAGCCACTATAAAAGCATCAAAAACTGCTAGGGTGGTGTCRGGCTGAAAAATCTTGCACTTTTAAGTAACCAATCAGTTGGAAAATGTTCATTCGTAATATCTGTATCTTAATGCATCTCCTTCCCAATTCCCCTATCTTTTGGCAACTGGGAGATTCTATGATTTGCAGGAACTTCAGCCACTTTTAGAGAAAAAGAATGCCAGAAAGAACAACTGACATAATAAAAATTATACTGATTCTTTTTTTCTGTAAGAAAGTTTAAGAGACAAGGGAATAATTGTTACATCAAAAAAAAAAATAAAGAAATGATCACAACTGCAAGAGTTACAACTACATTATCCATTTTCACTATGAAACAGGRAAGAGAAGTTAGGCAATTTAAAATACAACCCAGCATCATACCCCACTTTAGCTGGTCTTTGTGTTATAGAAAGAAAACAAAAAATCGCTGAGATTTTACTACGTTATAATTTTTTGAACAYTTCTAACATAGTCATTTTTGAACACTTCTAACATAGTCAAGTAATAATTTTCCAACTTGTTAACTTTGAGCTCACTCAGGTCTACAAACCAAACATGTAATGGTTACTGTCTGAATTAGAACAATTTAACTAAAACTAGGAAAAAAATCCTGGTCTGATTCTCTGATTTTCCCACCCGCTCATCTTAAAAAAGGAAGACTTAAATATGTAGTCAAAACCAGCAATGAAAATTCCTGCACCTGAATTAACTATGACTACAGATATGGATGGCATATTAAATTTTACCTGGATTAGGAATGCTTTTATAAATCATATTTATCCTAGATACTGAATTTCCACAGAAAGCAATGTAGTGATAGTACACATTTGCCTCAGAAGAGTGAAAAAGAAACAACAGGCAAGTTTTCTTTCATGTCCTGACCACAAACTGTATGCACACTTTTTGAAAACAGGAAAGCCTGTTTAAGAGGTTAGCCAGCTTCTAGAACGCAGCAAACCTGTATTTTTTATAGTGTTTCGACTATAAAAACCAGTTGTGCAGTGACAGCAAAACACATTTCGACCCGCTCTCCCCAAGGAAGAGGCTAGGAAAGATCTCAACAAGTTATCTACACCAAAATCCTCCACTACTAGTGTTACTTCCGACCACTACCAAGGAAAGAATCGTTTTAATAGCTGAGAAATAAACGACTTCCATGAGAGACTACTGCAGTAGGGACAGTATCCCAAGACATTCCCCTCACAACGCCACACTGCTTGTGTGCGGTCATCCCCATGGCAGAGCTGCCCAGGAAAGCCTTCTGGCACCTGCAAAAAGGCCTTGACAAGTTGGACATTAACTGCWGTCATCTTACGAGCGCCCATCTCAAGTGTTTGGAAGGCTCTTTCCTAAATGCGTGAAAGGGAATCGACGCTTCTTTCGTGAAAAATCCCCACGAGTTACCAGAAACTGAACGTATCCCTTCGCTCGAAATGGCACTGCACTTGAAGCCCCACAGCTCGCAAGAAACAAAATCTCCCCCGCCCGGCCCTTCGCCCCGTCCCCACCCCCGTGCCCTCCTGCGGGCCGGGGGATGCCCAGCCCACCTCCAGCCGCCGGCAGCGCCCCTGTCCCGCGATCCCGCTGGCCGTGGATCCGCTGTGCCCGGTCCGTCCCTCAGCGCCGGCCGGGCGGGGCGGCCTTCGCGCGGCGCCTCGGCCGCGGCCGCGTGCTGGGCGGGGCCGTTCAACGTCGCGCCGCGGGCCGGGCTCGGCCGGGCGGCTCCGGGGCTGTGCCGCTGCTGCCGCCGCTTCCCGGGGCCTCTGGGATTCAGGGAAGCACTGCACCCCTGAGAGGTGCCCTACGAGGCCCTGCGAAGGAGCAGGAGAGGCGAGATGAGGTGCTGCTGCCCCGCTCGCTCTGGGGTTGGACCTGAGAGGGACCGGAAATAGAGTTGGCGTCTCCCTCTCTCCCACAGAGGGAGTCAAGTTCTGTCAGGGCTTTAACAAAGGAAACTGGGAGAAATAAGAGACTTATGAACCCAGGTGTGAAGCCTCTTTAGCTAGCCTCATCCAGAAAGAAGAGGGCAATGTTTTCCAAGGGGAGGCTCGGAAAGTGGCAGTGAATTGGGAAACTGCCCTCACGGATCTGCCCTGKCACCGGGCCTGAGGGACCAGAGAATGGCCTCTGCCTTCTCACTTAWAGAAGTGATGGCATCCTGCGTGCTTTGGAAATTCAAATGTATTTTTTCTCACAACATATAATCAACAATACCAATGGACATGCCCTCCTAACGTTTGTTGGACTTCACAATCACCTTAAGTATACAGCATTAATTAAAAGTCCTTACATTTTTGTTGATTATTTCAATATATATTTCATGTCACCAACTAAGAACTCCAGAGGTTCAGAATAGGAAGGTAACATCAAGTACATTATTACATAAATAGCAAGCACTTAATTATTAATACCCAATGTTAAGGTTCATAGTCCTGGATAAGTTTATAAAGACTGTTTTATTGTTTCCATCAAGCATCTTAGTTCTTCTTTGCCGCAGTCAGTGCATTTTATTAGCCTAAGTATCCAGGGATGAATACTGTCCCTGAAATAGCGGCTATTATATACAGATGTCATGCTCCTACAGTTTTCTAACACATCATCTTCCRCTCGGTTTCCTGAACAGTTCAAGCATGATGTGCCATCAACATCTTTTTGTGAACATTGATGCAGCAGATCTGCATGCTCACCAACCCACTCGCTGCAGTTTAAGGTCTGATTTAAAGGAATTTCTCCCAAGTGAATTAGTTTTTACGCAAACATGTCCTGTTTTTTCTGACCCACCATCTATTCGCAATAGATTGTCATGTAAAACAATTGCTCTCCCGTTTGTATCAACCATTCCCTTAGCTACAGAACTAATTATCAATTATTAATATGTAAGTGCATATAAATATTAAATGTCCCTGACTGTTACTCGYGAATTGTTGCTGATGGGAAAGTCAATTGGCAACTAAGATCAGGGTACGGTTTTTCATGTGGCTGTTGTGCTTTTTGAAAGAAGATCCTGCAAACCGGCTTTATACAAGATCAACACCACTCTTCTTGACATATTSAATATCACACACAGATGTAGAAGTACATATTCTTCCAGTAGTTTTGCAGATTTATATATACTAAGGATGAATCAAACAGTAAAAAACCTCACTTGTGTTTTTCATAGGGGCTCTAAACTGGGCTGCTGCTTTTAATCCATAAGGGAAGGAGAAGGAGCRGGAGCAGAGATGGGGAGGTAARAGGGGAGTGTGCCAGGYATTTTGAAWGCTTGTTGCTTCTGAGYCTGCTGGAACGATGGGATTATTAGGGCTGGTGAAGGCTGTTTCTGGAGGCGCTGACCATCCCAGCAGGATCAGTTATCACCTCACACGCTGCCRCCCATGAGTTGGCAATGGCAGCAAGGCCGCCTGTCCAGTGCCTGGCCTAAGGAGCGCTGGACTGCAGCCATTTCCCAGATCCCAGCAACCTGCTCTCTTATGCAATTTCACCTGTGCCTGGAGAGAATCGTGCTTCTGATTATGGGAAATGAAAACATAAAGTGGAAAAAAATGTTACCTATCAGTTGTCTCCCAGTTTGTCTGGCGCTGGTAATTACACTACTGGAAATTTCTACTACATCTGGTATTATGTTCTTACATTAAATGATGATAATCTAGTGTTCTACCAAATACCTGATATATACCATAATTAATTTGAAAGGCCAATGATAGGTTTGGCCAAGAGAGATTTATTATATGTTGCAAAATATAAATCTTAAAGGTTTTACAGCTGTGTTAACAAAGTGCATATATGTAGGAAAAAAAAAAAAAGCACCCCAAAACCAACTGTTCTTTTTCTGTTTGGTCAACTAATCAGAGGAATTATTTCTTTTTAACATACTGATTGTGCTCTTAAAGGCTGTAGATTGCAGAAAGTGACACAGTCACACTTGCTCCCTGTATTAGATACAGTTCAGGAAAGCAGAATACATTTATGAAAGTCRGTATCAATATTGTACGTGTAAAAATGAGCAATTGCACATCTAAATGAGCGTGTAATTGTAATTGCACATGATTTTAGTTTTGTAATGGATGGCACTTAACAGCAAAGTAATGGCTTTGTGCTGAAATGAAAGGACTCTTGGGTCAGCCTGAGGGCAGACTTGTAGCTGCAAGTTTAAAAAGCTGTTTTCACTGTAATTTGATACTCAGCTGTGCAGCCAAATGTAATCAGTCTATTTGCATATGTAATTGTGATTTATTTTACAGTACTATTTTGGGAGGGTTTTTTTCCTAAAGCCACTAAAGCAAAACAAAAAAGCCTAACCCCCTCAAACCATTGTTTCCAAMGTTGTGTGCTTTATTAAGCCAGTCAACTGAACAAACACTGAGAGACAGTAAGGTACATATAAATATATAAATGCACACATAGAATATTATAGTTGTACTTTTGTGAAGTGGTTGCTTTCAGCTAAACTACGACTTGTCACATGGAGGCAGCCCAAAGAACACAAAAGTTTTTTTACCCCCTGACTGTTCCTGAAATTGAGCTACTTAATATATGGAGGTTCATCTTTCAATAGAGAAATCAGAATATTAATCATTAGTATTAATCTTCTTCTTTTTGACTACAGAAAGTGTTGAATTAAAAGTGGGAAGCCATTTTTATATTTAGTGCTTATCATGTGTAACTAGAGGAATATCATTATCAGCATATAATTCTATATAGAAAAATGTATCAAATATGTTGTTACATAAAAAAATTCTTTCAAGTCTGTCAACTGTCAGGCTTCTCAAATTAGGATTTTGTATTTTCCTTTTCCTTTAAATTTCTGATTTCTTTAGATATAGAGGAAAAAACAACATGGATCAAAAGCACTGTAAGTACCAAAAAAATTCCTAAATTACAGACAAAAATTAACTTTATAAAAAACATTCACCATTTGGGGGGAGGTCTGCCTCACTCATTGCTGAGGGCAGTAATGAATTTCAATTAGAGGTTAATACTGCAACTGAACTGAAGGATGTATTCAGGATGCACTGAATATTCTCATTAACTTCAGACACTGAACCTCAGCGTTTCAACTGACATTACTTTGTAGGCTCTGAAACATCAGCTGCATGTCCTGCTTCCTGAAGGGAATCCCAGAAGCCACAGGCAGGGGGATTAAAAGGCAGAAATGCCCATGGAACCTGTAGGCTCTGCTG